GCGGTAAACATAATTTATCCAGTTTTTCTCAATCTTACCCCCACCCCGATGTCAGCCTCATTCTACAACAGTGGCACCATATAGCATTTGTCCCTTTGTGGCTGAGATATTTCACTCAGCATCATGTCCTCCAGGGTCACCCATTTTGAATAATATTGCATGAGTTCCTTGTTTTTCACTCAAGACACATGCTTTGCTAATCTTTCTTCATTACTAAAACAAAGGCAACCCATTCTCAAATGAGATTATCCACAGCCAAAGGCACAGTGAAACTTCATAGCAATATATGTTGTAAAGTTATTTAAGGGCGCTTTCATGCATTGAAACCATAGGACCTCTTCGTTTTCCCACTACCACTCATTAAACTCCATCTGAATTTATTTCAAATGCAGTCTCACATGTCTTACTAACCAAATGCTTCTGATTTGTTATAGGATAATAGTCTTTCTGGAGAATGGTGCGAAGCTCTTCACAGTTTTACCGCGGAGACCAGTGAAGACTTATCCTTCAAAAGGGGGGACCGGATTCTGATCCTGGAGCGTTTGGACTCTGAGTGGTACAAAGGCAGACTGAAAGACAGGGAGGGGATCTTCCCAGCCGTTTTTGTGCGACCTTGCCCAGGTACAACACCTCCAGGAGATGGTCCTCCTCAGTTCAAGCTGTGGTTGCCTGCATGCTACATGTTGTTGTTGTTAAGTGCCTTCAAGTCACAGGCGACTCATAAGACCCTATGAACGAAAGTCCTGGACACCTCCTGTATAACTTTCGTCATTTCTCCAGGTTCATAGGGTTTCCAGAGGCAAGCTATTGTGGAAGTGGATGCCACTCCTGCTTCCAAGCTTGTTTTAATTGGGGAGCTTCACCAAACACTGTCCACCACCATGGGTAACAGTATTCGCCTTCACAGCAAACCACAAGTTACCTCTATACAGCATCCTACATACAAGTCAAACTATTATGCAAACTCCATTCTTTTGCTGTGTTAGATTTATGGAAAAAGAAAGCTAAAAATACCTTCATTTGATAATGGCTAGTTATGTCTTCTAAATGGCTCTGGCTCTGGTGGCCTAATGGTAAGAGACTGCACTGCAATCCCAAAGGCTTGTGGTTCACGTCCACCAGCTGCTCTACAGGAAAAGGATGAGCGATTAACTGCCTCGGAAAGCCCGTGGAGATTACCTATGGCTTGATTTCAGCTTGACTGTACACAGCAACAACAAATAGCTCTAGTGGCCTAGTATTAAGAATCTGCACTGCAATACCAAAGGCACTTGCTTCGGATCTGCTAACAGCTCAGCAGAGTCGGATGAACAATCTCCTCCTGTGGGATTTAAGCCTCTGAAAACCCACTGGAGGGTCAGCTCCAGCTTGGTTCCAACTCGATGGTACCCAACAACAGCAGTAATGTCTACTAAATATATTTTGCTGGGAAGGGGGAGTTTCCTTACTAAGAGAGCAACCTTCATCTCTTTGCAAATTAAACATCTTCAAACCTAATTGAAAATTTTCTCTTCTGAAAGTGACAAATGAGCTTCTTAAATTTTTGTTTCAGTCTTGTGTTTTCCATATTTGAATTTTTGGTCTCTTCACAGCCGAGGCAAAAAGTCTGTCCACTGCAGCGCCAAAAGGGAAGAAGGCCAAAGCTTTATTTGATTTCCATGGGGAGAATGAAGATGAGCTGTCCTTTAAGGTTAGTTTGTATGTCTTTTCACAGTGCAGCTGTATGAGAGCTACATTAAGCGGCAATAAATCTTGAAATGTGTTCCCTGTAATGAAGGGTGGATCATTGGGTTGAAGGGTGGATCATTGGGTGGAGTACTGATTATTAGCCAAGAATAAAGAGATCTCAGAGTATAATTCTAAAGGAATAAAACTAGAGGAAGGGAATAGGGCAGATTGGACTGATCACTTATGTAATCAGCCAAGAGTTTAGGAGGGGCTGAGAGAAAACATTCTTGGCTCAATAGTCCCGTGGTCTCCAAGCCGGTTCTTCATTGCTAGGCTTTACAGCATCTGTTGTGTGTTGTATTGTGCACCCTGACCTAATTTTAACCCATATGTATGTATGGATGTGATACCATTTGAGAATAGTGTTGGCTTTGTTATGCTAATTAGGTCATAATGGTGTCTTCTTCGGCCATTCATTTTAGAGATATAAAAGGAGCAGATTAGATATAGAAACAAAGAAACACAGGTGGCATAATATATAGATTCCAGACGATAAGAAGATTACTGAAGAATTGAGGCTAAAAACAAAAACAAAGACCTTTCTCCAACGCTAAAGGAACGAACGCCTCCTGCCAGAGGCCCTGATTTCTGACTCCCAGCTTCCTAACTGAGAATATAAGTTTCAGTTCATGAAAGCCACCCACTTGTGATGTGTCTGTTACAGTAGCACTAAATAACATAGAGGGAGTTCTGGTGACCTAGTGGGTAAGTAGTTGCACCACCAATCCAGGCGCAAGCAGTTCAAATCCACCATTTGCTCTGCAGGAGAAAGATGGGCAGTCTCCTATCATGTAGTGTACAGCCTTTAAAAAACCTCTGTAGAAATAATTAAAGCATCATAATGAATCAAAGATGTGTGACTGGACAAGTTAAGATTCAAAATAGTGAATGTTTAGGCAAAGTTACAATTGAGGAGTCTAAAGTGATACTACATGTTTCTTCTTGGGGAACAGGGAGGGAGGTGGACATTTGAGGTATCTCAGTAGAAGTTGGCTAACTTTCCTATTTTGCAGTAGAAATTTTATTATGATAATCTTCTCTCTTCTTGATATTATTAAGATATCACTTCTATTATAAAATCTAAATGTTAGTAAGTGGTAGGCATTTCCTGTGTCCTAACTATTCAAAATTAAAAGTTGACACCTCCATATTGGTTCTGACTCGATGGAATATAACAACCACCACTCCTTTATTAGTTATTAGTTCCTTTTTTTTTTTCTTTTCAACTTCTTGGTCCCTTGAATCTAAAACCTTGGGAGCAGTTGCCTTACTCTTTTATAGTCTTGAGAGTCAGTGGTTCAAAACTCATTTATTTTATCTTTATATAAAATGCTGTTACAAGTGAAGAATTCTGGGCTTTCAATCTGAGAATCTCATTCTGGCCATCATTTTAGGTATGCTGTATACATAACAGAAATCACAGTGTCCTCCAGAGAACAAACCATCTTCATTTATGGATGAGTGGAAGCAAGTTTTAAAGTTTGTAATTAAGTGATTCTACATTGTTTCCAGTATTGATGATCATTAATATTTTGTTAATATTGGCAGGTAGAACTTACTAACAGCAACAACGGGGTTCTACCCTTTAAGGAAACTGAACTGGTAGATAGATCAAAGCTAAAATCCTTCTCATCATCTATCATGTTATTACTTAGAAATCAGAACTTATTTATAATAGAAACTTTAAATAGCCAGGAGTTTTAGAGATTTTAACAGAGTAAATTACTGACATTGATAGTCAGCATTTTTCTTTTCCATTTTCCATAAAGAAAAGCCTGAAAATCGGACCATTTTTCCAGAGGACAGTATACTGGGACTATAAATAAATCCATTTAGCCTGAAAAGACATTCTTAAATGTAGCCAAGGTCCTCTTGTACCATTGTGAAATTTCAAAACCAGATTCTAAGAAATTATTAGTAACCATAAAGAACAAAATGGTTGCAGGAGCTGGTTTTAGATATTACATCTCCATCTGTGGAAGCAATTATAATTTGCAGATGGATGTAGTCCAGTCCTGTTGACTAATCTGATGAGGACAAATCTGTGCTCTGAGTTGGGGTGAAGCTCTTTAAGACAGAGCGAATGCAGATTCATATCCATTCAGACCAAGGAGGAAAGGGCTAACCAAATGGCTGAGGAGAATACCATTATGTGAAGGAATAAACACAGAATACAAAATGCCCAGGGTGTCACTGAAAGTCATTTATAATAACAGCCTTTCTCAGTAAAAAGGCCCAGTGTAGAATGTGATGATTACATAGCCTAGTGCCTGAGAATGTAGAACCCGGAGACCCTGGTACTAACTGAGCATATAGCATTGGGCTACTTACTGATTGATCATTCTGAGCTTCAGTTTCCTTTTCTGTAAAAGAATAAAATCTCTAAAAAGTCCCACCACCCATCTGTCACTTTGTCCTGCTGTGGTGCCTTGCATGTTGCTGTAATGCCGGAAGCTAAGCCACCAGTATTTCTAATACCAGAAGGGTCACCCATGGTCGACAGGCTTCAGCTGAGACAGACCAGAAGAAAAGCTTCGTGAGCTGCTTCCAAACTATTATCCCGTGAAACTTTGTGGATCACAAAAAGGAGAATATGGCCTGACGTGGTACTGGAAGATGAGCTCCCTGGGTTGGAAGATGCTCAAAATACAATGATCACTGCACTGGGCAGTGTTTTGTTGTGTTGTGTATGGTGTCCTTATAACTTGGTACTGGCTTTAAATAACAACAGCAAATAAGATTTCTAATGGCAATTCAAAAGATTAGAGGAGAAACCTAGAGGGTAATGAGCTTATGCACAGTAGGGGAGAAACAACTCAGAAAAGAAGATGGAGAGTGGCTGCCCACCTCCAAGAATGTCAGCAGTATCACAGACTTGTCCACCTAGATGGTGTGTAATTGGCATATCTTTTGCTGAGTATATGCTCAATGACAAAAAATAACTATTAAATTATTTTGTTTTTTTTCTCTTGTTGTGTACTGTTGAGGTGGATCTGAGTGGAACAGGAGGAGATGCCTCTCCTCCAGCAGAGCATCTGGTGGATTCGAACTGCACACCTTCAGGATTGCAGCACAGCTTCTTGCCACTAGGCCACCAGAGCTTCCTCTAGAAGAATTATTTTTAAATTGGGATAATGTTAAGAATATCTCCCTCCAGGATATGAACAGACACTTCACCAAAGAAGACATTCAGATGGTGAACAAACACATGAGGAAATGTTCAAAATCCCTAGATCACAGAGAGATGCAAATCAAAAACTATGAGATATCATCTTACCCAGTAAGAATAGCAAAATTCAACAGAGCAGCAGGTTGTGGAGAGACTAGAACCCTTATTCACTGTTGGTGGGAGTGTAAAATGATGCAACCACTCTGGAAGGCAGAAGGGTGCTTTCTCAAAAAGTTGGAAATAGAAGTACCATTTGACCCAGCAATTCCACTACTGGGAATATACTCTAAAGAAACCATAACTGCAACCCAAGCAGATATATGAACACCCATGTTTATTGCTTTTTTGTTCATAATAGCAAAGAGTTGGAAACAACCAAAGTGCCCATCAACAAATGAATGGATAGAGAAGCTGTGGTATATTCCCACAATGGAATATTATGCTGCATTGAAAAACAAAGAACTCATGAAAATTATACAAAATGGGTGCCCCTGGAGGACATTATGCTGAGTGAAATATCTCAGTCACAAAAGGACAAATACTGCATAGGGCCACTGTTGTAAAACAGGACTAACATGGGGTTGGGGAGACAGGACTGACATGGGGTTGGTGAGAAACTAAGAGAAGAAGGAATAAATAATGTACATGGCATTGAAACAGACGAGGGAGAGAACTGTATAAAAGGAATATATGATTAGGTATTATTGGCATGACAAGAGTCCAGAATGAGTTGCATAGTAAAATCGTTCAGGGTTAGGGGGGTTACAGGGACGGGGACTGTTTAACAATGAAAGAACACTTTTTTTCCAAAGAAAAAAGCTAACTGGTGGAGGGGAGGGGTCAGGGAGGAAAATGTGCAACAATGAATGATTGGAAACCCAAGTTCTTTATAAACTTTCTTTCATTAAAACCTAAAAAAAAAAATACCTGCCTCATGAGACTTCCTGAGTTAGAATATGTGAAGTATGCAGCATATGACACAGTAAACGTGGTCACTTGCCATCTCAAATGCTTTGCTTAAGTGGCCCCTTCAGTGAAAGTAAGCATCATTAAGCAGCACTATCATACTTTCTGGCCCCTCATGTCAGAATGAGAATTTTACTTACAGCTGTATCCTACATACCCCAAACCGTATCTAGCAGTAAACTTTGTACAAGTAAATAATTATTTTTTAAAAAGCCCTTCAAACTCATTGCCATGGAGTCAGAACTGGACTTACTCCAGCAAGTGTTCATTCAGAGACTGTAAATTGTATGGAAAGAGATTGCCTTTCTCCTACAGAGCCTCGGGTGGATACAAACTGCCTGCCTTTGAGTTGCCAGAGCAAGCAATTCCTTTTTTTTCTTTTTAATTTTTTTATTATTTTTGTACATGTACCATCAAATCAGATCTGACTGGTACAGGAGGAGACTGCCCCTCCTTCCCCGGCAGAGCATCTGGTGGATTCGAACCGTGCGCCTCTGGGATTATAGTTGCAGGTTTTTGCCACTAGACCACCAAAGCTCCCCACAAGCAGTTCTTTAGAGTAGGGGAAGTTGAGATAGATAGTTGAGGTAGGTAGATAGGTAGGTAGGTAGTAGATATTAGCTTATATTTTATTTGTTCAAGACAGCCTCAGATTGTTTTATTATGAGTGGTAGAGCAGGAGACTAAGCATGTCATGGACGGGATCATCAAATTACAAGGCTGACAGTTGTAAAAGATGGACTTCAAGGAAAAGGAAATGGCATCATTAGGTGATAGATCATCCTGTTGAAACATCATCTAACCCTCTCAATAAATCACGTAAATGAGTTATTAAAGATTATTCATACCTCTTTAGGTGGAATGTTCACCATGCTTATAGTCAAATGATTGAAGAAAAAAGAGAGATGAAGGAATTTAGTATTAAGACAGCTAACTGGTGGCAGTCCCCTGTGTGTCAGGAGCGTTACTGCTCGTAGGACTTAAGTGGCTGCAGACTCGTACAGATAGATCCTCAGGCTTTTCCTCCAAGACTCCTTGGGTAGACTTGAACCACTGACCTTTAAGTTACTCGTTGAACATACTTGTACCACTGAGAGAATCCTGTGCCCAAAAGAAACCAATAATGATTTCCAATTACTCTCTTCTTACAGGCTGGAGATATAATAAGAGAGCTGGAATCTGTAGATGAAGATTGGATGAGTGGAGAACTCATGGGAAAAGCTGGTATATTTCCCAAAAACTACATTCAGCTTCTACCAGTCAGCTAAGGATGAAGCTTGACTATGTTCCTTGGCACAAGAACTCACTTGAACTATCACTTTGACTATCAGAATTGTTTTTGCACTATTTTTTTTAACAGAAAGAGAAATATCTACACTGTACGTGATATACGAGAGTTTTCTGAAAGCAGAAGACTTCTCGATTTTGTATTTAACTTTCATTCACCATAGAAACATACACATGGAAACCCATGAGCCAAGGATTGTCCAAGGAAGACAGCAAGCAGGATTAGCGAGGCAGATCCCTTCCCTCCAGAGACTCTGCCTGCCAGGGGGCAGCACAGGGAGGCTCCCACAGAGCATTTGCACTTGCACATCTCTTAATCAGCACAAATGAATTATGCTTCTTCTTTTTTTTTTTTTCACTTTAGTTTAAAAAGAGAATGTTTGTCCTTCTACCTGCTGTAACTATCAGGAGATGGTTGGTCGTCTAAATTTCATTTGTTATTTTCATTTTAACAGCTTTGAGTGCGTATCCTTTTTACTGGGGCTTGCCTTTGCTTGGGGAGGGGGTGCATTTATTGATTAGGTGGAGCATTTGTAAGTACATGGTCAAAACCAGCTCCTTCTCATCAAATACTCCTTGTATTTCCATTTCCCATCTGGCCTAAGATTTAAAGGGGATCCAAAGCTGGTGTCTCTTACTTGGTCAAAAGTCCAGAGTCATCCATCCCTGCACTCCCTTGCTGATGCAACTAACCCTCCCACATACCTACCATGCTTATTTCTCTCCTCTATGAATACTTTATGTTAACAGGGTTATTATAAAGCATATTTTCTGAATCTGCAATCATTCCTTTGACAATTACTGGTATCCAAAGAAAAAATTATTTTCTTTGTGTTACTCCAGTAATACATAAAAGCTATCTGTGTCTTTTTTGTAGCTGTGTCATTATGAACTACATATAAAATCTTAGAATGTAGAGCTACTGTTAAGATGGAAAACAGTGCCAACCCCCACTGCTCATTTCTTCCCAATATAATCAGAATGAGAAATCACTTAAGAGGACTGAAGGCTAGGGCTCTGCTTTTTTATCAGCTCATTCCTCTACAATTATTAAATTAAAAAAAACACAACAAAAAACAACAACAGTTGCTGGCCATTGTTATACATTCCACGCTTGAGATAAAAAGTAGTTCTTGACATGACTGAATCAATTACAGTTTATGGGCTAAAGCCAAATCAGTCGAAGACAATCTTCCAAACCGATCAATGGAATAGAATTTCATTGGAAATGTAAAACAGCTTCCCAGCCATCTTCATGACTTTGTTTTATTTTTGAGACAAGTGTTTATTATTGTTTCCGTCGCCCAAAAAGTTAGGCAGCCAGTCATCACACTGTATGTCAGCACCAGCCACCTGAGGACCTACTAGGGAGGCAATGTTTCCTTTGTGTTTATCTAAAGTTCTTTTCCCAGTTATAATGTCATATGTGGTCTTGTGTTTTCTACATCTTAGGAGTGAAGAAGGCAATGTAAGAAAAACTGATTACATTTCACACAAAAGTCTTCTTTTCATTCATGAGACATTCTTGTTTGTAACAGCAGGAAGTGAGGAGTTTGAGATTTGCCTGTGTAATTGTACCATCTGAAAATAAATATTCTGAAAGCCTAACTTTATGGAGAAAAGATATCCTTCTTTAATTTGGATCTCTGTCAACAGAATGATAAGTGCAATAGTTGTGAATCTGCTTTACACTGAAATAAACTGAACTGTACTTTCCAAAGCCTCTTTCTCATACCAGACTGAAGAATGGTATCTTATTTACCTAATGAAAGTTAGGGAGCTCTCAGGGCAGTGTCTATAGAGAGTTGCACTGCTAACCCAAAGTCTACATTGCTCAACTTCTCTGTGGAAGAATGAAAAAAGAACAGAGATAATGTGGGTATGGCTGACTCTGACTTCTTCTAAACCCACAAAGGAGAACTGTCCTCCTCAGTAACATCCATTATATAAAACCAACCCCTTAGTAAGACATGGTCCTCCACACTGCTGCACCAACTTCTAATCATTGGATCCAATATTCTCTGCAACAGTTAGGAGGGGTGTTGGAGGAAGGCAAAGGCTATCATACAGTGAAAGTCTGGGTTCAGTCCAGCAGCACAAATGTAAAATCTCTGATTTCCTCAGTCATCCAAGCATCATCTCATAGTTGTCCTGAGTCTGCTCTTCCTGTAATCGTCCGTAAGCAAAACCTTTAACTCTGCCTCCAACTCTAGGGCTCTGTCAGGCTACACCTTGCCACAATCTCTCTCCACAATCTGGACAGCTCTCTCATCTATTAACCTTCTAGCCGCTGATGATGTAGAAGATGCTGATCAGTGGTGAACCATATGTGTGCAATTGAGTTGGAAGCCATGCCTAAGAGAGCTGAGGGTGGTGGGCAAACCTTAAAAAGTCATTTTACTTACACATTCCCACCTCTCCATATGGTCATGTCTAAGGCAATAGTAGAAAAGCCATTTTCAAAAGTACCACCACCACCGCAGGGAAAAATGGATGATCTCTCATGCAATTTACAGCCTTGGAAACAAATGGTATTTCAGCCATAAGTCTGTTCCAATTTAATGGCAATAAGTAAGTGAATAAATGTTAGTTGATTTGTTGGCTAAATGCATAGATGTGTGCATAAATAAATGGAGATGAAGGATTAATGAGTCAGTAATTAACAGATGGAGAAATAACTTTCAATATACCCAGTATATACTATCTTAAATCCTGTCAGGTTTTCCTCCCTCTCAAACTTGTTGATGAAAATCTGTATTGACTGACTTATTAGATGACATTTTACTTAGTCATGTCATTTTGAGGACTAAGATGCACCTGATTCAGATCATGGTCTTTTCAGTCACTTGAAATGCATTGAGAGTTGAATAAGGATGACAGAAAAAGAATTGATGCCTTTGAGTTGTGGTGTTGGAGAAGAACACTGAACATACCATGGATGGCCAAGAGAATGAACAGATATGTCTTGGAGAAAGTGCAGCCAGAGTACTCCTTGGAGTCACAAGTGATAAAACTTTATCTCACATGTTTGGGGCATGTTGCTAGAAGAGGCTATACCTTGGAGAGAAACATCATGCTTGGAAAGGTGGAGGGACAGCAAAAGAGAGGAAGACTCTCAACACAATGGCTCCAGCAACGGGCTGGAGTAAACAGGATGGGACAGGGTTCAGTCTGTTGCTCACAGGGTTCCTATGAGTTGTACTCGGCAACAACTAACAACAACTCTGATTTTTTTTTAGTTACATATTTACTATTAACTGACAGCCAAAATATACCATGCAGGTTTTCACAGATACTTTCTTGTATATATGTTGATTTAATTCAAGGAAAGATTCAATCAGATTTAAAGATCAGCACAGTTTTTATAAGGGTCCCTGAGGGTGTAGGAGAATGATGAGCAGTCTCCTGTAATGATTTAGTCTCAGAAACCAGAGAGAGGGGTTGCTGTCAACCAAATGCAATTGGAAGACAATGGATTTGGTTAGGTTTGCTTTTAAAGTTTTTGTGCCTAATAAATTTCATAGGAGAGAAATAAGAATGAATTCTGTTTCTCTTTCAGGAATTTTACATAAAAATCTAATAATGATTATTTAAGCCTCCTAAAACAAGAATCTCTGAATCCTTTTTCTTTGTGAATCTAAAATTAGAGAAGCTATTTAATGTATTGTTCCAGCCCTTTGGAAGCACCGGTGTCTTCGTGTTGTGTTACGATGCCAACCGAAGGGCTATCTGTTTGCCTCTATCAGCTGCTCCTCAGGAGATACATGAACTGTGTCCTCCCATGAAGATTTATAACCTCTGAAACCCAGTGGAGGGTCACTATCAATTGGGCTTAAAGTAGGTATGATTATGCTGAGTGAAATTTTTTCAGTCACAAAAAGACAAATATGGCATAATGCCACTGTTCTAAAACAGGACTGACATGAGGATTGGGGAGAAACTAAGAAAAGGGGGTAAATCATGTACACAGCATTGAAACAGATGGAGAGAACTGTATAAAAAAATATATCATTAGGTATTATTGGCATGACAAGAGTCCAGAATAAGAGCTGCATAATAAAGTGGTCTGGGGCAGGGAGAGGAGTGCAGGGAACTGTATAACAATGAGAGAACTTTCTTCCCAAAGAAAAAGCTCTCTGGGGAGGGGGTCAAGAAGGAAAATGTGCAACAGTTAAGGATTGGAAAACCAAGTTCTTCATAAACTGTCATTAAAATCTCGGTTTTAAAAATATATCGTGTATGGGGACCCTTTTATCCTCCCAACAGTGGATTTTGTTGAAAGGTGCCTTATTTACATGGCTGGATGGGTCACTGTAATGTCTGTCATTGAATTTATGGAATTTATGGAATGGAAACACAAGTTTTCAGCACAGTCTGAAATATTCAGAATGAAAAAATTATTCGATAACATGCTTAATAGATAATATATTAATAATTGTATTAATCATTAATTGTTCATTAATAATAGCATTAATAATTGTTAAGTGTCATCAAGTTGTAGGCAACTCATAGTGATCCTATGAAGACCTGAACACTTGTATGACTTTCATCATTTCTACAGGTTCATTTAATCGAGGGGCTCCACCAAACATTGTCCACCATGGGTAACCATTATTGCATTTGACACATCAGTGTCACAGTGTTCAACATCACAGCAACCACAATTTACCTCTATACAGCAAGTGGACAGACCAGGGCTATATAACGTAGAAGAATATTTGACCAAAAACAAAACCAGGCTTAGGCATTAATGAGCTGAAATAAAGTGGCTGGACATTTTGAATCAGACAAGCATGATCTACTATGGCAGGAATGACAAAGAGGAATGTCACATCACATTCAGCATCAGAAGGAGCACTTGAAGATTAATTCTGAAGGAACGCTCTCAGGGATAGGATAATATCCATATGCGTACAAAGACCTGTTAATACATTATCTATATCTTTGTTTTCTTGATATTGAGACAATCCATACTGAAGGCTGCATTTCTTGATCTGCAACAAGTGCTTCAAATCCTCCTCACTTTCAGCAAGTAAAGTTGTGTCATCTGCATAACACAGGTTATTGATGAATCTCCCTCCAACCCTGATGCCACATTCCTCTTCATAGAGTCCAAATAATTTG